TGCAATTTCCATGTAATCTTTCACTGATGTTCCTGTTTTACTATTAAAAGAAGCCCACCCAGAGGAACACCTGAAATAAAAAGTACTCTATTTTTCTATGTGGCGACTCATGTGGAGTATTTCCTTTCCCAATTTCAAAATTTAGTTGGCTACTTTCTCCTTTTTCTGTCACTAATGAAGATTACAGCAGCCAGTGACAGCCCAGTGTAATAGATATTCCTGTGATATTAGCAGTATAGTGGAGTTTGACAATTCAGATTTTGAGAAGCATTTAATACACATAACACCTTACAGATCCAGAGCTGAGAGGCAGTGCTCTATAGGTGCAGCCTACTGCTTTAGCCTTGTTTCCTAATCAAAATTTCTGTTCTTTCTTATCTCTCACCTATTCAATACTCTTGATTGAAGTGATTGACCACACAGAACTCTAAAGGATAAAATACATTTCTGCATGTTTTGTGAATGTAAGGAACCATTAATATAGAACATGCCTCTGAGGGTCATGATGGAAGGAAAGCACACCCTGCAGCAGGCCTTGTACATTATTTGGCACCAGAGATATCCCAAGAGGGAGCAGGAGACAACACAAACATCTCCATACCTGGAAAATACTTAATTCCAAGTTTACAGCCAGCCATGAGATAGGAATCTGCAAGAAGGCAGGTTTTGCCAGTTCTGGGGCTCTCAGAACTACTCATTTCATTGAGAGAGGTCAGCTCAAAAACCAGACAATTAAAGAGCATGGCTGCACAATTAGGATATATTTCAGACTGCCAAATGTGTTTTTGCATTAAAAGAAAGGGTGAGTAACTCTCCAAACCAGGACATACATCCTGAGGAATGCTGAACGATGCAGGGTTCTGTGATTTAACAAATATTTAGTTAAAATAGCAAAGTAGCTGCAAATTTACTAGAATGGGGTTAAATGAGTGCTCAGCTTTATACCTGCACTGAGTTTTGTCTGATTAGACACTACATATAAAGAACCCATGAGGGGCAGTAGCTTATGAAATATGGTAAAAACAATTTTCCTGCTCCAGCAAATATGCTCTTATGTGTATTTATGTGTCTGTTGCTAGTCAGCAAAAAGCCACTTGGTGAGATTCATCATCATCATGTTCACTGCTGCATTCAGCTCTCCTTGAAACTGGAAAGCTTTTACTTACCTATTAAGAAGCTTTATGGATTCATCTGCAACAGTGCACTTTGGGGAAGTCTACTCTGCAAACAGATTTTTTTCAGATTAATTCTTATCTCCCTGCTTGCACATGCTTGCCCTACTAATGGTGACATGATACCATTAAGAGATATGAAAACCACAGCCTTCTCATATCCTTACACACAGGGAAAGTTGAACTCAGATTCCCCAAACCACAAGGCAGTTTGTGGTCTCCTGAACAGCAATTTTAAGCAGCAAAGGGTCTGACCTCACTCAGACTCATTGTTTAGGACTCAAGCACATACCAAGGGAGCATAGCAGCAATCCAGTGGAGCCAGCAGCACACTTGGCTGTGTAAGACTCATAGCCCAGTGCCAAGAGCTCCTCTGTTCCACTCCTGCACAGCCTCTGACTCTCTGGGTGACCCTGGGCCCTACTCCACAAACAATTCCCAGCACAGTACTTTGTTATAGGAAGCTCTCCAGACTCCAGCAGCACCAGTGGAAGCCACACATGCATGAGGACTTGAACTCTCAGAGCTCAACTACCTGACACTTCATCCATGTGCTAAGTAAGGAAGGAGAAAGAGATTAATTTACCTCAGCGCTATGTGGTTGGAATTTTATCTGTCAGTCTCCAGGACAAGCTAAGGCCTTGCAGGAGCCTTGCAACATGTATTTTGCTCCCCAAAAACACAAGAGAAACATGAAGCCAGGGATTTCATCCTTTCCATTTAGGATGACTTGGCAGCAGCCAATAAAAGCTTGTAATGTGATCAAGTTCCTCCCTTTAAAACACAATCAAAAAAAACCCCAGGCTTGTACCAATACATGTTCCCTCTCTGACTCCCACTTAACCTGAAATTATTGTGTATTACTTTACCCCTTCACCACCTTACACCAGTGATCAAGTCATCTGTTTTCAGCTGCTTGCTAAGGGCCCACTAATGGAAATTCTTTGGTGATCTGGAAGGTATCTGTACCTGTCTCCTACCAAGCTCCTTGCTGCTACAGGGATGGACAGCATCAGCTTTCAGCAATATACTACAGAAAAAAGAAGGAAAAAAGAATTATTTTTCAAGTCCTGAAGCTGCCCATTAACAGACCTAACAATTAAAATAAAGATACCTACATATGTAAAAATTAGAAACCAGTAGTGAAAAGCTGAGTGGAAATATCTCTTATGAACATGACACATAATTTTCAAAGGTTTATCACTGTATTAAGTAAATTAGCACATATTACCAGGTAAGATATACAAATACATGGTAGTGTTTCCAAGAGCATGGCCTTCAGGACTCATTTCCCAAAGAGGTCTAGAGGAGCTCTGCAATGGTCTTACCAAAAACATTTTGGTCAGTGATGAGTAATTCTGGAAAGTTCTACCATCTACTATGGGATAATTGCATCCTGCACACATCTGGGCATGCAGTCAAGTGACAGGGACAGGCCCCTGCAATATGGCCCCAAAGGGCCCCTCTGAGCATCTGCAGATCCACATCTGGCCAAACCACCACATTTCCATACCTTGGCCTAACAAGACAGAAAAGACTCAGAGCCAGTGTGTTAACAGTGTTTCACACCATGAGAGACATTGCATACATGCAGAGTTTACACAGGGATGCACAGGAAACTGCTGTGATGAATAACAAACCACAGGAGAACAAAATTTAAAAAATGTCCTAAAATGTGCATTTTATTTCATATCATTATACAATGTTTACATACAGGTATACTTTTAAGACTGCTCAAAGAAAGTGTGAAAAAAGTGAGGCAAATATCAGTTTAAAAATTCCAACCCTACCCCAAATCCCCACAAATAAAATACATTTTAACACAATCTCTTCCAAATTAATGTTTTGTCCTGAATTTATTGAATCTTTCATTTCAACATGAAAAATACAATCAAATGAAAACTCAAGGTGAAATGCTGACCTACACTTCTGTATTGAGTTGCAAGAATACAATTTAAAACCTTCAGAAGCCTTCACTTGTCTCAACTGCTTATATATCTTCGTTTTACTGAATTAGAAGGCACAGAAAGTCCAGATTCTCACAAACCAGTCAAGTCCTGATAAAAATAAGTTACTGTGCTGGACAACTCCTGACTTGTCTGATATCAAACAAAAGACTTCAAGTAGAACCTTTTGTTCAAAATAGCACCATTTCCACCTGATCTCTCTTGAACATGAATCATTCTTCTTGTGTAAAAACTGTAGTTGGCACTTGAGGTGGGACACTTCCTGCCACAGCCAGGATTCTTCAAAGACTAAGCATACCAAATTTCTGAACTCTCTACAAAGTGTAGGTCATATTTTTGCTGGGAAATGGCACGTTTAAACCATAATGTAATGTCGTTTAACCCGCATATGGCTTGCCCATTTTGGTGTTTCCCTGACCCCTGCTTGATAATTTAGCAGATGTTCTTGTGACTGTGGTGAAACTAAAATAAAGACATGTTTATGGGGCTTCAAGGCAAGCAGGTGTAAAAATAATAAAACAAATAGTGTGGTTGCCACTAAGAAGGTTTTCACATGTTGTTTAACTCCAGTAAAGTTTGATCCAGCATCTGATGCATATTAAGGTTTTCTTCTTTGGCATGCGCCACTTTCTCTGTTGTGGGATTAGAAAATTAAAACATGAATAGCAGTACTTTGAAGGCACTGAACATGAAGGCATGCAATCAACATTTCTCTCAGAGGGTTTAGAAAGTTAAGAAATGTGCATGCACATAAATATCAATGTTTCCAGGTAACACAACTAGAGAGAATTCCAAATTAATAAAACAAACAGCAAGTAATGCAAGTTTAGAACTGTTCACAGCTGCATTTGTTAAAAAAATGCACTGTTGACAGAGACACAATGTTTTGGAAGCTCTTTGTTTATAGGCATGAGAGATAATAAGTGGCTTCTTTTTTTTTTTAAGTAGGCAATAAAGTTCTTTGCAGATGCAAAATTAAAAGTTTCACAGAATTCAAAACCACAAAGAACAAAAAAAAAATACAACTATTATAGTTTTTGGTAAAGTGACCTTTAAGAAATTTATTTCTTCTAGAAAAAAATAAACTCAAAGTTAGTAGACTTATGTTGCATGCACATTTTTATAGGACAATCACTTAACACACATAGTTAATACAATAAATGAGCATAATGTTCTGGTGGTGCATCCCACCAGGATCCAGTAATAGTAACTTCATACTATGCAAGCATACCTTTAAACTGATTGGGTATTGTCAGATGGAGCTCCCATTCTTTTTTTTTATATGTCAAATACAAGCCAAATTCATAGTAAGGCAAAATTATCACATCAAAATCTCCAGAAGAAACAGCTGTAGTATCATTTAAGTCGGATGTGAAACACAGAAATATGGATTCTATGAATATTTTTCTCTTACTGTGGTAAAAATCTTAGGGCCAATTCATGTTGTCAGATAAACTAAGTGCCTTTCTGCAACACAGGCTGTTACGTTTTGAAGACTGTTAATGAAATGCTGTAGCTCTTAAGTGGAAAGAAGCTACTGTACAGCAGAAGAGCTTAGTGCTCCTCCAAAATAGGTGTGCAGAGACATAATGAAAAGCCTCATCCAGAAGAAGCATTTCCATATTTTCCCAAGAGAATTTCTTTCATTAATTTACCACAGAATCAACAGCTAAAAAAAAAAATCAATTTCTAAGTTTCTTGCTTATTTCTACAATTACTGATTCATTCTTAAAGGAAATTTGGAAGAGGGTGTTTTCAAACAAGTTAACAATATAGTCACACTAAAATTTAATCCTCATTCAATGCCAGCTTTAGTTCATTAGTTAGGCGACTGTTTTGCTCAAGTTGCTGGTAGAGTTGGTCTGTACAGGCAGCAAGCAGGTTAGAAGGGAAAAAAGAGGCAGAATGAAGACAGATTAGACAGAGAAAACAGTTAAATAAGAGTTACTAAAGAAACTGGTCACATGACAGACAGTTCAGTAACATAGAGAGAAACATTTTACCTCTGTTTCTAGAACTCTAGTAATAGCTACTCCAAGGAACAGTTATTGTACCATATCAAGAACTGGCTAAGAATCCTGTTGTGGGAACAGCTGTGAGACACAAACTGGAATAGAAATGAAGAACTGCAGCTATATTCCTAGAAGTACTATGTCTTACTTTAGTCTTCTGTACAGTATGTGAATTTGTTTTATGAGTGCCATTTTTCTTTGCAAGCTATTCAAGGTGTAGTGTAACCTCATCTGCCAGTAGAGAGAAAACAATTGCACTACAGCCAGCATAAGTAACAGCAGGCAAGATGCTAGTAGGCAACTACCACCAGGTCAACTCAGCCCATACTCCTCTCCTAGTAGGTCTGATGGGCTGAAATGTTATTTTTGATAGGTAAATATTACTAGAATTGTTTACCTATCAAAAATGTTATTTTTGATAGGTAAATATTACTGGGGTTACTGGAATCAACACATTTTGATACCTTTAAGTTGCTGAGTTTTACTTCGTAAGAAAACAGACTCACATTTGGTGAAAATGGAAAGGAAGGATGAACGCTTTGCTCAAAAACAGCAAACAGAGGACAATTTGTGTTGAAACAGAACAGCCACAGCCATGTTGTGACAGGACATTTAGTGAGAGTTGCTCTGCAGAGTAAAAATGTTCCACAATGGCTTTTGACTATCTTGTGTTCTCAAATTGCCCATGCTCTTCTCAATAGCCTAACTGCACTCCTGATCTCTTGATCCCAGATTATTCCCCTACAGGAAATGACTGTTTCTGACTCTTTTCTACAAGCTGCCTAACAGCTTCCACAGGAATCCTCTTCCCCTGCAGGCACTGGACACAGCAAAGGCAAAGCTGTGCAGTGAGCTGGTCTGCAGGACATGCTTGTATGGTGAGCAACTCCTCCCAGCTTCCTCCCTAGCCTAAACTCCCACAGCCAGCTCAGTAAAGCCAGGGCACATTTCACAGCTCTGATCCTGCAGATCCTCCAGTAACAAATGGATCTTGTCCCTCTCATCATGATAATGTCACATATATGCAAAAAAACATCAAAGCCTTACAGTAATAAAACTTCCATTTGTCTAACAAAGTGTATATAGTTGTTATTCAAAAATTAATCTTACTGTGAACTTACTCTTATCATCATCACAGAAATCTCCTCTCTGACTGAGGCAGATTTACAGTATTTACACCTGAGATTTGCAGTATTTCTCAACTTCCAAAACAACTAAATCCCCCAGTAAAGCAGGGAAAGCACTTCCCAAGCAGACAGTGAGCCCTTGACTCCCTATGGTCTGTGTGTCCATCTGCTCCAGAGGCAGAGGCTGGCTCTGCAGGAGCCCCAGCAGCAGAACAGGGACTTCTGGCTCTGTTCAGAGCCAGCAATGCTCAGCAGAGCCCAGAGCCAGCCCTGCACTCCTGGGAACAATCCTCAGGCACAAAACCAGCCAGACACGGCAGGTACAATACCACAGTGGAGGGTGACAAGAGTGCTGAGCCACACCAGAGTGGGGAACCACAACAGCTCCCTGGAGTGAAGATCAGAGCAGCAGAACCAGCCAGGAATTCTGCATGCAGCTACCTGGGGATCTACATTGCACTGCTCATTTCCAGTACTCTGTCCAGCCATCTGTCATCCTTCAGTGCAGAGCTGATCATGTATGACTGACACTAAAGGCAAAATTTTAATACTGATGTTTAAAATCACTATGTTAAAAACTGACAGATTCCTACAATGGATTTTGCTTTTTCTGTTTACTTTTCCTAAGAAATACCAGTACTGCAAGGAATTGAGTGAACTCTGCTAAAACAATGAACCAAAACACAATAGAGTAAGCAGCTGGAGTTGCTGTAGCATATTTTACTCTGGCTCAGATGACAAGTTACAGATGATCACAATGCCCCTAACTCCTGCATTTGTGAAGTTATTAGCCTCAGTCATTTTACAAATGCTCATCCATTATATTTGCTTAACTTTTATATATCCTATTCTATCTGGTTACCCTTCACACACAGCCACTTACTGTGTCACTCGAGGAGTAGTAAGTTACTGAACTTAATTACTTGAACTGTCTGAGATTGCTGATATATGTCCTGTATTTGGGCTTCTGCCCCCAGCCAGCAACATTAGGATGTGTCATAGGTAGAAAACTGGGATGTGCCATAGTTATCCAAGGATGGCAGGCCAAGAAGGGCATGCATCCATTCACAAGTCTTATTGGGAAAACAAGTTTTGAGGAGGGGAGAAAATGTAGTTTAGACTGCACTGTTGAATCATCTTGAAGCTGAATAAGAAAGAGACATTTACATTTTCCTAAAAGTTTCTACAGTTCAGCTATGGTATAATGAATTTATTTAGCTTTGGTGACTTAGGAGCTCTTGCAATATATAGAGTTACAGGATCACCAGAAATCAATCTGGTTTTCACTTTCATGTGAACTGGAAAATAACTTCTTTCAGTGTGATGCAAATAAAGTTAAAATAAGGCAATAAATTTCCTAGTTGAAAATAACAATACAAAAAGAGCAAAAGATGTCAGTATTTAATGCTTCATCCTTAATCAGACAGTGACAAATCAGCTGAAACTTGATATCCATGATGTTCCATTTTGTAGCAGAGTAATTTCATTAATAGCATAATCACTAGAATTTTCCTACTCCAGCTTTGAACCATTTCTCATGGGTCTGCAATTCAAACTCACAAGTCTGAACTAAGCACAAGTGGAAAGCTACCAAAACCTCCCCAATGTACTTCCAATATTATCATGCCACTCAAGAAAAATATATTGTAAAAATTCCAAAATGTTAGCAAGCATCATCTTGGCTGAATAACCAAGGTGTGAAAGAGGGAAAACATTTTTTGCAAGACATTTCAAGGATTATTTTTGGGTGAAAAAAAGAATTTAAATGTTTTGATGCTGCCTCTTTAAATCTGCCTCAAATATATAAGTTAATGAACAAACACATTTAAATAAAGATAAAAAGTCTTCAGCATAAAGCTAGGAAAAGATTTCAGTCTTTAAAGTGAAAAATCTGGTTACATCAAGGATGTAACTGCTCCCTCAGCCATGCTCCCACGACCAAGTGACCCCAAGGAAGTAGTGTCCTTGCAAATTTTGTCCTAACAATAACAACTGGAAGAGTTCCTATTACATCTATTTGTCATTTTATCTGCAGCAGAGTTTGAGAAAAACTAAGATAATAACTGGTTGGTTTTCACACACTGCACTTGCTGGCTTGGCATTGTCAACATTCAGGCAAAAGTGTTTTCAGCTAAAAAATGAAAACACCAAAAAATGAAATCCCTAATGGCATAAAAGCGTAAATTTTATTAATAACTTAAATAATTAGTTAAACAAATAAAAGGCAAAGGAATAGCAAAAGGGATACAGCTGGGATATTTATTTTACATTGAGAAATGTAGTTTCTGTACAGCAGAGCACAAACAGAGCATGTTCTGAGACAGGTGATAGAGGAAGAGTCAACTAAGCTAGAAGACAGGACAATGAACCCATGAAACATCCAAAGCTTGGAAAGATGTTTTATCCAACCCGATGAAGATGTCTTTGGAGAACTGAAGCAAAGAAAATTATCTGCATGAAAAGAAAAAGTGAGATAAGGTAGAAAATGAAAAAAGGTGCAGTAAAGTCTTTCAAAAAAGCAGCAATGGCACAGCAGAGCCCAGCATGCTGAGATGACTATACTAGAGAAACAGCACACCATGCTGGGACTGGAATTATATAGTCATGTCCTCATATACCAGTAGAGTACAATTTTAAGTCTTAGAAATATCCCAAATCGAAGAAATATTGTAATCTCTGGATAGAGTGGAGGAAAAAAGAAATCCATTTGCTTGATAAGCCATTAAGCAAAACCATATGTTGGGGAGGAATTTAAAAACAAAAAATCAAAGCATACAAAGCAGGCAACATGAGACCTCTACTAAAATGTTGGTAGAGAAAAGGAGGAAAGTAACGAACAGACATGGAGGCAAAAACAACATGAACAAAAAACCATTTAAAGTATGGGTGCACACAAAAGCTCTAAGCAAACCTTACAAAGGTTTGTTGAAACCTTAGAAAGGCCTTGTTGAAAGCATGTCTGGGCTTCCAAAAGGGAATGCTGGGACTAAACATTGCACCTCCTAAGCTCTTGAGAGCCACAGCTCTTCCCCTCTCCCATGTCAGCTGCAGTGCTCATGCATGGGAAGGTGGAGGTAGCACAGCTGACCTCTGTTCAGAGTCCCTGGAACAAGAGTCACTTTGTGTCAAACACTGCACTGAGGAGTCACACATTACAGCTGTTGACTCTCCTACTTTCCTGCCACTCTTTATTTTTCTCCTTATGACTAAAGTTGGTATTACTACATTTTTGGTGTATACAAATAAAATTACTACTGCTATCCAGAAAATATGCAGAAGAAACCTATAATTCAATTGTTGTCTTTATGGGTTTAAATGACAAGGTATTTTAAATCCATTTCCACACATGTAATTCAGTGATAACAGCTGAAATTTTCAGAGCAGTTATGAAAATTTAGAGAAACAGTTTCTACTGTCTTTAATAGAGAATACAGCTAAATCTAAATTTCTCTGACATTTTTGCAGGAACTTTGCCAGAGCAAAAACTGTGACAGCAGGCAAGGAATACACTCTGAATGCAACACGTAGCACAGCAAGTTTCTTTGGTAAAACAAACATGATGGGCCCGGTAGATAATGTCTGAACAGAGGTGAACTGAAAGGATCAACACAGAGCTACAAAGGACAACCACAAGACACAAGGATTACAGACACAGAATCAAAAAGTAACCACAAGCTTACAAAATCACCATGAGTATTTACCAGGCTTAGCACAACACTCACCCACACTTTGCCAGGGCAAAGCAATTGTTCATGGTATTTTGTACACCTATTCTCTCTAAAGGAAAGCATCTCCCACCACACAGGGAGCATCATTTCACTGCGCAATCAGTGAGGGCAGGGAAGCAGGAGCGGGCACAAGCTGGGAAGACATTTACATGGAAGTCATATCATTGAGAGCGTGGTCCAGCTCCTCACTGATGGCTTTGTACTTCAGTTTCTGAGCATAGAGCTCATCTGAGGTTCCCCCAGGAAAGGCAGAGGTGTGCAAGGAAATGGAGCAGGATCATGGGATGGAAGGTGAAGGTGGTGGCATGGGGATACCATCCAGAAGCCGTACGAAATGGGAAGAGTGCACAGAAAGAAGTGTTGTGACAGACAAAATGAAACAAAATTAGAGAAGAATAAAAGAAAGAAAATAGTGAACAGTTATATGCAACAAGTTCATTAACTGCACTGCCAACGGGGCAACCCGTGATATACAGAAAACCAAGAAAAGAGAGTACAAAAGAAGCAAAAATCCATGTTTCACTGCCCTGGATTTTTGTTTTAATGCTTTTTTGTTTTAATTAAGAGGGGACACAGGAGCTCAGGAGAAAAGATCCAAAAACGGGGCTCAAGGAAGATGTTACCATTTTCTATCACTTTTTTTTTTAAACCACTCTGGTTTGTGTGATGTCAAACTCAGCTTCTTACAGTAATTTTTGTTCCTTCTAAACACTTATTTTTCTTCTCTGCTTCCTTCCTGAGTCAGTGATCATAAATTTTCAGCAGCTACTTAGGCATTTCATCACCTTCATGCAGAATCTAGCCTGCCACGCCATGCAATTTAGCTTCTTCAAATCCTACACTTAGTGTAATGCTTCTAAATAGCAAACTCCATAACTTCAAATTACAAAGCCCTACTGAATTGTTTTCTCCAGAGGCAGAAAGCACATTCTACTGCTCTGCTGCAGTTCTGACAGATTTATCAAAAGCTTACAAACAAACCCTCTGAAGTTGAATAAGCTGTCCTTCTGATTATGTATACAACCTATTAGCTTTACCAAAACCCAGTAGCTGGTCTATGTCACAAAATCTGCCCTGACCCACACTTATCACAGTAATAAATTAGGATAGCTTGCTACATTCCTAATTATTGCAAACATAATGCAACTCTTCGTCAGTTCTTTAAGATGATAACAACACTTGTCATCTGATCATTTACCCTGTAACATTTATATACTTCCAAATAGAAGTGTATAAAGCAAAAAAATGGAGTCTTGAGAACGTAAGAGAAAAAAGCAACAGCCAAGAGCAAAACACTGTTCACCTGAAGCATTTAAGATATCAATACATTTCATTTAGAAAATATTTTGTCTACTCTTTAGGCAGACCCATTTATATAAGCAGGACAAGTCAGCCCAGTAGAACTGGGTATTAAAAAAAAAATCCAACAAAACCAAGAGAAGAATAAGAGATATGTATTTCCACAGGAAGTAGAAAAACAGCCCCACATACCTTCTAGGTCATCAATGCTCTTCTCCAGCTTGGTTACTGACCTCTCAGCAAACTCAGCACGGGTCTCAGCCTGAAGTCAGGACAAATACAGACTACTTTAGGAAACACACACAGTACTTAGAAGTAGAAAAGAAATAATTTAAATGAGAAAAAAAGCACAGTGAGAGGAGGCAAATAATAAGGTTAATATAAACGAATTTCTAGATATTTAACATTAAACTGTTTCCAAAATGGTATGTTCATCCTTACAGCATCACAGTAAAGTTTATACTAAAAGAATCAAAGGTGCATTGGAAGACACATTGCAAAGAACAGCTCTCATTTTACCTCCTTCAGTTTGTCAGTCAGAACTTTAATCTCCTCTTCATACTTGTCTTCTTTCTGTGAGTACTGTAATTAGAAAGAGGATCACTGGTATTAGATGGTATTCTAAATATGCTCAAAAACCACCACATCCAAAACTTTTTAATAGATTATCTGTACACAAGAAATTGTTACAGGTAAAACAAAATTAATTCCACTTGGAAGGCTGTGGTAGTACAGTTTATTACAAGAGTCAAACTTCCCTTGAGTTACATTCCAGCGCAATATGGTGGGAACTTTGAGAAGAAATTAGTACTACAGCTTTAAAGAGGAATGTCTTTTGGAGAAATTTAATATTAGTACACAATGCCATTTTGAGGGACATTCTATAATTAACATTTAATCCTGTCAGAATACTCAATGGAACACGTGGCCAAATAATACTGACCTATTTGGAACTACAAGATATACTATGTTCCAGTAGGAGCCAGATATGAATTGAGTAGTAAATCCAAACGCATCTATTGACAACAGCCCTGAAGAAATGCTGCAAAGTGATTGGTATACAAAGAAAACCCCATAGGCCAGATGACAAGGTAAGGGACACATTCTCTCGTAAGTTTCTAGCCTACCTTCTCAGCCTGAGCCTCCAGCGACTTC